ATATCCTAGACAGATAAACTGTCTCCGTTCAGAATCGTTTTTCGTATACAATGATATAATATCATTGGATTCAAATTTAATTCCATCCATTAAAGCAACCCCCTAGTAACCAACTGTACAGCAGAGCGACATCCACAACTTACCCGCTTTTTTTATTATTATTATAATAAAAATCGAATTTCTTATTTTTTTGAACAAAATTTTATGTATAATATATAAATTCATGCACCATTGTTTACAATATAATGATAAGAATATAAAATAAGGGATGTTATGATTATTATGATACCTATCATTGCATTCAAATTTAACCTACCCTAGTCAGAGGTCCACCCCACCCTCAATATACAGCAGAGCGATACCTACCCAGCTTTTTTTTTTTATAAATACAGGCTTGGTGGGCCCTTTCCTGTGACCCATTCTATAATAATGATTGTATTGGAATTATTGGCTACTGCCGTATTTTTTCTTACATATTTTCAAGTTGTAACTAATTATTTCGTATTTTAAAGCAGTTGTGTAAAAATGCCTTCTTGCCTCCCCGAGGACGCCCGTAGTAGGTAGGACCAAAATTAAATGTCCAATAATGTATCATTATTATAACTGTTTTGTTATTATTGTATCTACGATGTTTAATTTAATTTAACTCTTTTTTTTTATAGACTTATAGTTGAAGAGATTCTCTTTAACTGCGATCTTCGATACATCATAAGACTAGTAAAGAGATATCTAATAGGTTCTGTTAAAAAATTGTATGATCTATAGTTTAGTGGTATAAAAAATGCATATTGCCTAAATATTGCCCCTTATTAAAGACATATCTATACGTATGGACCCCATATTTGAAATCTGAAATTTTAGATTCTGAGCTTAGCAATGAATGTATTAAATTTAAAATGTGTGTTTTTTGTTTGAAAATACTTTTTGTAGTTATAAAAAATAAAAAWGCACTTATCATAAACTTAAACCGACGTTTTATTTCATGGTAGCAWACAGAGGCGCCGAGCTCTAAAAAAAGTAGGTAGGTACTATTGTCAAATTTATTTTCAAATGGTACCACCCAACAAAAATATTCAAACCAAGATTATTATTGTACTATATTATATTACTTTATGATACTATCTATGTTATATGAGCAATTTTAAGGTCCTTATGACCATTAGGGGCTAAGCTCCTAGGATCACCCACCAATTTAAGCTATTATTTAAACAATACTTGTTAGGTGGGTGGGGGGTTCCTTGCCACTGGTAAGATATTTGATTTAGTTGGTACTTTAGGGAGGTAAAAATTGAAAATAATTTGTATTTTTAAAAAACAATCGGGATAAACAAATATTTTTTTTAAATACTGCTATTAAAATAATTGTTTAGTTACCTTATTATTTACCTGAATGCCAGCCCATCCCTTAGATTTAGTTTTGTTTTTTAATAAATGTCGATCAAAAAGTTTAAAAATATAAGATTTCTCAAAAGTTCCTTCAATAAATTGCTATTTAAAAATTAAAATTATTATTGATATATAGGTATAAAAACGATTTTTTTTATAATCAATTAAGTTCAAATTTTGAGAAAATCACGAAAATAAGCGAATTATTGTGTAGTTAAAAATATCTAAAATCTTCATATATCTAATAGGGCTTTTTTGTTCACTAGTTTCAAGTATGCTGCAGTTAATTTGGATATTAATGTAAATTGAATTATTATCAAACTATTAAGTAAAGTATCTGTGCTGAGCATCGACGATTTTTCGGTATTTTCATTCTCAAGCAAGATATGTGTATAAAAATTTATTAAAAATGCTCAAATCTCGCTTCAGAATTAAAATATTGTTTAAAAGTCAGCGCTCAACCACATATAATGGTCTCAGATAAAAGTTTGATGATAGATCAATAGATAACTTTGCAGGAATCAGTAAAAGAAGCCTGATTTTTTGACATAAAATGTCATTAGCTCTTGATTCTAAAATGAGAAACATAATTTTTTTAAATCAATACTTGAAATACTTCTAAAAGATAAATGTCTGGAAATTATATACTTTCATTAAATAATGAAGCAACAATCTATTCCTTACTAGTAGGTAATAAGTAGTGATTTATGATATCTTGTAATATTATAACTGAATTTTAGCGAGTTTGCAGCTTAATTTTTAATACATTTAGTGAAAAAGTGATTTGTATGAGGATTTGTTTTTTAAAGTAGGTAGTTAAGTTTAGTAAATAAGTAGGCTAGGTTGAAAAGTAGGGATTGAGAGTATCTTATCAATGAGTATTGTAATGGAAGTATAAATTTTGAATTTAATGATAAACCAGTGTAAACAACAGTAAAACGATTCTCAGCTCTAACAATTTTTACATTTATATTTTTATCTACCTCTATAAGTACATAAACAAACAAATAATACAACCGTAGTTATTTTGTGCCACTGATTTTATGAAATGTATAACCTATTCAACTCAGTTAACCATAGTTCATTATAAAACTAATTTTTTGATTTGTTGTAGCCGAGTTTATGCTCTCTGTAAGAAAGTATAGTTAGTCTGTTATAGTTGTTAACTAATATAAAACTCTCTTATGAAATGTAAGAATGTAATTGAAAGTATCTATTAAACATAATTTGTTTTTAAAAATCACTTTTTAAATTAATTATTCTTTTAAATGAAATATAAATTTTATCATAACTTTAAGAGGACGCTACACAACCATTTGTTGTCTTACAAGTGCATAACATACCAAATTTATGCTCTGCACATCATGTTTAGCTCTGTTAGTTTCAAAATTAGAGTGAATCGACCTATTATGAAACTTGATGTTAAGAATATCTGTGTTTGTATGTGGATTTTTAGGTTTTTTACGATAATTCAATTTTATAGCAAGTTATTCATATAAAAATAAGTTTAAATTAAAGATGCTCATAACTCACTTTTAAACTAAGTTATCRTAAAAAACCAACATACAAACACATATAATGTTCTTACCATCAAGTTTTTATTATAGGTATTTACTCTAATTTTTTAAATCAATGGAATTAAACGTGATCTGCTAAGCGTAAATGTATTATGTTACCCACTTGTAAGACAGAGACAATAAATGTATAGTGTCTTCTTAATATGACTATGGACATAAATAAAATGTATAATATTTTCTTATTAAATTAAAATATGATGAAATAATATAAAAATGTTTATGTTTTATTTATTGTTTGGAATAACACCAATGGGCTTTTACAAAAAAGTGTATTATAAGATAGGTTATATAATGTGATAATAGTATAACACTAAACAATATAAGTATAACAGCAAATAAACTATAACAATTAAAGGCYAAAGTTAAACTAGATTATAAAACCTAAGTATTCTTTGCATGGGGTGATTGTGGCCGAAGGGAGTGGGAATATAAAAAGGAGTATGATTACAAACATTGTGTTAATAAAAAGTGAACTAAAACTTGGTAGTCGTACTTACAATTATTATTTATGTATTACAATTAGCCATCTATTAAATAAAATAATTTTTATCATTTATCAGCACAATTAACTTAATTGTAAATTATTTTATTCACAGTTCCAATATTCCAGATTGCCAGTAACATACATATTTACCTGCAAATACAATTTTTCAATTTAGAGTACATTTAATTCAAATGTGTTGTAAAAATTAAAAAATTTAATTAGAGTTCAATAAATTATAAACTTCTTTGTAATTTCAACATATTTTTTAAGACTACCAAATTCACTTTTTTTACCAAAATTCCAACAAAAAATATATTAAACATAATGAAGAGATTTATGAAATCACTAGCTAAAAAATTCTTTACAAAAAAATTTTAAAATACAAAACATTTTTAAAAGATAACCAATTTAATTAAAAATGTAAATTTATTATTATTTATGCAAATATAGGTATATTTTTTTCAACTGTAAACATACAAAATTGGAGATTGTTATTCTTACTGAATTAATTATAAATGTTGGGTTTATTCAATCTGGTGATTATTGTTCCGCTGCCAAAAGTTATATTTAACTTTTAATCTATTATAGKTGTACAAGAAGAATGTTCAGACTTCAGAGGATCTTAGATTTAAGCTGTGATTAATGCTCTTATCATTCTAAAAAAAAATTGAAATAACATRTATCAATGTATTAATTAAATTATGTATTGTTAAAATAACTATCTTACCCATATAAGTAGTAAAAAAATGAGAACAAATAAAATGCCAATTTTATCCAACCTTCACGTTGATATCTATTTAATTTATCGGCATTCATAATACTTGTTGGATCATAGAGACCAAAACCAGACATAGCGGGTCTATTTCGATACCTAAAATAATAAATGGTTTATTTATAAATATATTTTTTAACAATTTATGAATACTAAAATCTAAGCACTCTTACTTTGAAATATGATAAGCCATTAATGGAACATTTATAGCAATGGACAACCACTGGCCTCCAAACAAAAACAACAGATTTGAGAAGAAATGTAAAATATATTCTGGAATCACTAACTGAAATAAAAATTATATAATAATAATAATTATTTTTTTACTCGAACAATTTTATCAATGAGATCATACATGAACAGGTAATTTTAAAACAGCCTGTATAACTAATAAATTAAATAAATAATAATAAAAAATAAAAAATGGAATTTTAATTTTAATATAATATATTAAGTAAACTTTCATTATGTTAAATCCCAAAAGGAATGGGAAAAAATTTGAAACATTGAAAAATTCAAGGCATCAAGTTTTTTTTTTTTTTAATTTAATAAATAATTGAAACAATTTGAATGATTAAAATACATCATATGAATACTTAAAATACTAAAACTAATAAAAAATTAAGACGATCACAACAAAATTCTATTTATCATCAGGAGTATTTGAGTCATATATTTGAATTATATAACTTTTTGTCTTTAAAACCAGCTTTTGTGAAGATATTTTAATATTAAATATAGTTTGTAGTGTTGCGCTTCTGTAAGCTTAATCAGACATTCTGATTTTTCAAATATGTTATTTTTGATTTATTAATATTACATATTAACTAATTGTGTGATAATTTTTTTTAGATAAGAAAAAACGATTGTTTCTATAACGAGTTATAGATATTATATACAAGATTAAAACACTATTGCGCCTAATGATAATCTCAAGGAAATTTTAAGATAACAACAAATTTAAGATGAGTTTAAGTGAGTTTGGCATCATAAGATTCAACTGTACTTACACAAAATACAAAATAAATGTAATAATGATTTGAAATGAAAGGATTCCTCAAAATATCTCCTTAATATTTTGCGGTTTATTATCTTTTTAAAGAAATAAATAAAACACAAAAGATTACTTAAAGATATGTTCATAAATTCAAAAAAACCTAGTGTATGGGTATATAAATCAATAATACAAAGCCTCATAGGCAAACATTTGGAATAATAGGATCATGCATACACCATGTATTGTCTCAGTCTTACTGAATATATAACATAACATTTTAGTCAATAGTTTCAATTTTGTGTAACAAACTAGTAAGTAATAACTAGGGTTTGGAAGTTATAGGAGCCAAAAAAGGCAAAATATGCACGAAAAAATTATAAAATATGCTTKAAAAAATGTGAAATATGTAAAAAAAATTGTAATATTGATAATTAAAATATGGCACATAACCGGTTGGCATTTAAGATTTTATTGAGCCCAAAAATTAGTTAAACAAATATATTTTCATTATTTTTGAAATACAAAATAAATAATGTCCCCCAAAAAAACCTAACAGTGAAAAATGGCCAAGTTCCAAACTCTCTCCCAAAAAAGGTTGCTTTCTAATGGATTTTTTCACAATATTAATATTTTCAAACAAATTATGAGAATTGTATTATTTCATACACTCATATATTGCCTAAAATTTAAAATACTGTAAAAATTCACAAGAAAACTTAAAATTGTTCTTTCTTTTGGTCAATTCATTCTGTTTTTAATAATTTATCATTTAATTTTTTTCTCATATTCAATATTTATACATACTGGATTTAAACTGTTGCATTGATCTATAGGATTCTTGCTGTCATTCTTCAGTTCATCAAACGCAATAACCTATAACCAAAATTATTTCAGTTAAAAAAGGATCATAAAAAAAAACAAAAAGTAAAAATAATAAATTAACTCTGTAAATAATATGCTTAATTAATTTGAGAAATGCATAATTTGACATACTATAACAAGGTTAATTAGTTTATAGACTATGTAAAAAGCTTATAAAAATAGATAATTTAATGCATGGCCCTACATAGTACCTAAAAATATACCTATTATTCTATTATAGTTAGKAAATACTAAATAATATGTACAATAKCTGATAGGTACACCTTTTAGTAGAAATTATTATTACTATGACAATGATATGAATTATGAGTTGTTAATATACCTTTAGAAAACATTTAAAATTATAGGTAAGCATGAATAATAAACGTAGATTCTTGAATATTCATTTTTCATTACATATTATTTATTATTACCTTAAATAATTAAGTTAATTAGGTACATTATAATTCTGATGTAATTTTTAAAAGTATATGTCTATAACTTTCACAAATCAGATTATTAAGTATAAACATGATGATTTTTTCAGCCTGATCATCCTATTTGTATGCTTTAGAGGGCGTGAATATGTGATACCCACTGCCCACATAATATGTTCTCCTCGTTATAAATGTGTTTAACATAGTAAGTTTTAYGCTCAGCATATGACGTTTAGCTCTGTTAGTTTAAAAATTAGTGTATTGGTCTCTTATAATATTTAAAGGTATTTAGATGACCTCATAAGCTTTTAACTAAACTATATTTTAATTTTGAAGTTAGTTATAAATACCTATTAATTAATTATTTAATCGTAAACTTTTTGTACATCTTAAATTACTTATAACCAAGCTTATCACTAACTTCAACATTGAAATATAGTAAAAAGAAGTTAATCTTAATGGTATAAAACTAACATGGGGGGGGGCATCAGGCTCTTGCCCTGTAGACCGTCTGCCTTAAGCCCTTAACTCCTAAAATTTTTTTAATGTGCCATAGTTTATAAAGATAATTCAAATATGTAGGTACCTAATACAAATATTATACAATATTATACAGTAGTAATAAATTAAATTTTCTACCTAATCATAACATAAATATAATATGTTACATGACATATAATATGTATAATAAATTACGATAAATACATTAATTGTTATACCGAGGTATGTCTTAGATTAATTTCTAAACAATGATTTTATTACCATTTATAAAAATAAAATTGTTAAGGACAGAACTTATGCATAGGCATTAGACACAATAGGAGTAATCAAAGGTCTGAATAAAGCAGAATAATTGGATACTTAACTATGCTTTATGTCTATTAATCTATTATTACAACATAAACATTTTGAAATTTAAATAAATACCTATCATATTTTATGGTATAATTTTATGGCCAGCATAATTAGGCCTACATAATATTATAGTGTGATTGATCACTGATCTCTCAGATAATGCTTGTATAATGGCTGTTTTATAGTGAACTGAGTTTTCAGATTTAGCTTGAATAATATGAGTGATTAGAAATATTGGTATACCTACAATGTGTTTCAATATACCTAAGTCACACGTCTACAGCATATTTACCGGGCGCCATTTATAATGACCACCAACGTTAAATCGAATAAACAACCAGAAGAAATAACTCGCAGCGCGACGATAGTCAGAGACCTGAACCTATATAGGTTTGTAGGTTGTAGGTAATAGGTACTCACGTGAAACACCGAGAAGAACAACAGAAAAGCGTCGGTTATCATAGCCACAATGTAGGTGCACGCTGGAAAGTTGAAAGTCATGGCTATCGACGGACGTTTTTGTTGGGCGTAAAGTTGCGGATTTGGACTCTAGGGAGTCGTCAACGTCCTTAAAGTGGGTGTGAGCTGGAATTTAAGATCAACCGGATGTCCGGCGATCGGAAGAACCAAACGAGCGTACAGACGACAACGAAATAAAGAAACAGTTCAATCGAACAACCTTCGAATGTTGAAAGGTAGGCACGTAGAAATGTAGAATGTCTTGACCGCACGAAGAACGAYTCTACGATTGTTGAATGTTAATTGTTAACTACATACAACCATTGAGTAATATTTATGTTATAAAATGAACGACGAGAAATGCCGAAGCCGAATCGGTGACATCAATTGCATAATATTTTGAATGTTATAGTGATAACTGATAAGTGAAAACTGATGATGATAAGGAAAATACCGCCCATGAAAAAATAACACGATAGCATTAGATCATGTATTCATGTACCATTATAAATGTACTATATATGATCTAGATCAGTGGTTCTCAACGGGTGTGATATCGCCCCGCAGTGGGTGGTGAAGTGTCACTGGGGGGCATTGAACTAGTTTTGGCCGATAGGGGGGGGGGGGCGGTGGACTAGTTTTGAGTGGTAAAGGGGCGGCAAGCGTGTTCATGCAAAAACGTTGTACGTACGTGGTGCTACCTTAAAAGTAAAAATAACTCATACTTGATAATCCACATAATAACTATCAGTTAATAGGTACTATGTGTAGAGCAATGCACAATAACTTATCTTTTATTGTTGACAAATTTATTATCTTACGAATTACGACTTACTATGTTATTAACGAGTATCTAACYTAAATACCCAATGCCGTAAAACTTGCTAAAAACCACCAAGTTCAATCATCTCACTGAAATCGTGTCTACAAAAACAATAAAAGCAATATAAAATAAAATTGATAAATTATTAAGTTTTTTCAAATGTTTGATTTAATTAATTTACTAGTACTATAATTTAAAAAATATGAAAATTAAAAGATTAATTACCTATTAAATAATTATTCAAATTTTCCAAATCATCAACTTTCTTCTTATTCCTAAGCCCATACCATTAATTATAGAATTTTCATATAGTGGGGGGGCGTTAAAGAATTACCTAACCTACTCAAAGGGGTGGTAACATAAAAAAGATTGAGAAAAACTGATCTAGATCTCTGATCTAAGTATAGACCTAATATAAACTAGTTTTTAGATCTATCGTCTATGTCTGTGAGGGTCATTGTGTAGTGTGCAGAGAGGAGAATCATTCAGTGATTTCAGTGACAGTTTAAAGGAATGGGAAGGAATAGTTTATAGATAAAATGGAAAATACTGGTTTTATCCGGTCGGTGATTCCCTCTTTATGGCTATATTGGGTATCCTCACGGGACACGCTCTGTATACATATTTTGGCTGTATTATATGTATAATATATAGTAATCAGTCGATATTTCGAAATTCAGGGGACCGAGTTAAAAATTCAATTTATAGAGGTTTTCGATTTACCGAGTGTTCGAGGGAAATAAATTAATTCGAATTAAAGAGAGATGAAAAAATTGTTTGTAAGACATTCTTCTATAGATCGGGGTACCAAACATTTTTTTTTTGTCTGATCCGTGATTAATAAGGTGTTAATGATGTAAGATATAGTCCTTTTGTTTAAGTATTGTTGAAAGCTAGAAGCTGGGATACCAAAACGTAGAGACACATCACATATGACACATCTAGCTTTTTTTTCACCTGCATCAACTGCCACGGCGATCACTTTTTTTGTCGGTTATTGACATACACTTGTATTTTACGGTCTTTACGGGACCCATATCGCGACTGACTATAAGTTTTATTCAATTTCAATAAAGGTTTACCCATTGCAGAAGTATAAATATTTTGGTAAAATGAAATTATTAAAGTTTAGATTAGGTACCGTAAATACACGATTATAAAGATTGAGTTATAAAGTTATAAAGTTCTTTATAATCGTGATAGTCCAAAATAAACTATGATAATGTTTAACACCACCGTCGTTATTAGTTTCATTACGTGCACGTTAAATAGATTGTACACAATCTTTATACATATTATGAATTTACATATAATCGCGTTTTAAAGTGACAAAAAAATTCGAATTATAGAGGTTTGTGGAAAAAAAATTCGAATTGCAGTAGAATGTGCCTTTTTATCTGATGGTATAAAGATAAAATTAAAATTAAATACCATCTACACCACCACCACCAACAGACATTTCGAATTATCGAGGCGACCGGAATATATGTAGGTATTTTTGTTCTAATTATAGAGGTTTTCTCAGGGGGCTTAGGGTTTAGTTCGATTTATGGAGTTTTTCGAATTATTGAGTGACTATTGTAGGTAATATGTAAAATATATTTCTAGGTATGCTCGAAAAAAAAGGTAATTTTTGCACGTAGCGTTCAAATAAATTTCCACCCCTAGTATAAAGTTTACCTTTTTGTATACCTTTACCGGCTTTACCCTATTATATTATTTATTAATTTTATCATCATGTGCATTTTATTTTATAATGTTTGGGAGATAATTAGTWAGTTTAAAAGTCAAATTAGTTTTTTCATGTTCATTTAATTTTATATTATAAAAAAAGCGGGTAAAAGCCAAGTGGGTATCGCTCTGCTGTACATTGAKGGTGGGGTGGACCTCTGACTAGGGTTGGTTAAATTTGTAATTATGCTCTATAGCTATTTGAAGCAAAACTTATGGAAAACTTAGTGTTGAATTTTATAACAGTAGATACAAATACAAAAAATATTATGAATTTTGAACTACAAAATAATT